GTTCAATATCATCAATAATCAGTCATCATTAGTATGATTCAATTTGATCAATAGCGAAAAGTAAAAATAATCACACTTAAATGCATAAATTAACAAGTACAAGAACGTAAATACATTGATAATCGATAAATTGACAATTATAAATTAATTAGATCATGAACATACCAGTGTCAATGTCATTAGGCTTCTTCATCTTATCAATTATCTATTATATGAAAGCATTATATGTAATCATTCAAATGCTATATATGAACCCACATATTATAATTCTATTTATCAATACTAATCATGTATGTAAGCTTCAATATATGATTCAACAAAGTATAACATCCAGCTTTAATATGATATTTTTATTATTTTATATATATTCATTGTATCATCATTATTACCATTGCAACATATTTATTATTATTATTATAGATGACTTTCACTGAATCATTAAGAGTCGCACCCTCTGTATATCGACGTAACACTTATATGATACAACCGGGATAACACCATAGGACATCTTAAAAAAAAAGCCATCAATCCACTTTCTTGCGTAGGGTATTATATTTTAACAGTTAATCCGTATTAATTACATTTTCAATAACCAATCTTTCATGCTTACAAGTAAATAACATATTTATCATATATCAATTGTACCAATCTCTCATCATGCATGATATATAACATGAAATGTTTTTTTTTTGTTAAAATTCACTGTGGGGCCTACGCGTTAATATAAAATAAACGGTTACAAAGTATTTAATAGGAACCTTCAGCTCTCTAATGCTCGACAGAGCTACAAAATCAAACACTACAGGAAAAACGCTGAAAACCGGCGGTTTTTTCCGGCGGTTAGTCTAGTTTTACCGGCGGTCTAACGCCGGTTTGTAAACCGTCGAAAAAATGGCGTAGGAAACCATTTCCAACGGCGTGTTACCGGCGGTTTATTTTTGCGGTGGTTTTCCGGCGGCTAATACCGCCGGTAACCACCGGAATTTTAACCGTCGGTTTGCCGGCGGTTAGGCCGCCGGTATTGTAACCGCCG